GGCATTTCCGTAATAGGATTCAATGTTTCAAAATTAAACAAATAAAGTTCCCCGTAGTACCAATAATCTTTCTTTAAAAAAAAAATTATAAATAAAATAAATATTTTCCTATTTCGAATGGAAAAGACCTTTATTTTCTATTTTGCGTTTCAAACAAATCCGATTGTTCTAAGATCGGCACGTTTCAAATCCTGACGATCTGAATCAAAAATTCTATTGTTGTACATCCCGGTCTGCATCTATTATAAAATTTATATGTTTCTCTCAATTAATAAATGCTCATACTCCAGTTTTTTATCTGTAATAATAATTATGATACTCAAATACATTAATATTCATTAAAAAAATTCTTTTTTTTTGGATTTTTCTTAATGGTATTATTTTGACAATCTTTATTATTTTCTACCATAAACCGCCGTTTGTCCCTTCAAAAAATTACTTGTGAATAATGTACATTCAATGTTAGTTCCATCAAAATAATTTTTTTTTAGCCTTTGGTCCGTTCCGTATTTTTTAACATATTTTTTTATAATTACTTAAATTTTTTTCATATCAATTTGTTATATTAAAAGCTTTTCACCTATTTTTCACGTTTTAAAACAATTAATAAAAATAAAATACAATATAGATACTGGTAAATTCTGCAACGTGAAGAAATTATTTTTATTACTTCTATTAACAATTTCCAAAAGAACGTTTCATGACGGTACCTTCCAGGTTTGGTTAATAACATTTCTATAAAAAAGTAGAGGTTGGAACCGGTTAAAAACACTTTCATGTTAACCGGTCAAGGATTTTTCTTTAATCGGTTAAAATATTTAATCTTAACTCTGGACAAAATCTAATTTCTAGTTAGTAGTGCCGGCCTGAGTTAAATTTAACCGGGTAATTAACCGGACGGTTAAGGATTATAGACTGCAAATCGGGTTGTTTCATATATTGTAAATTGGCAATTGTTTCAATAAAAATTTGGTTTTTTTGAAATGAATTCTTGATTTTTTAAAGGATAGAGGCTCTGTTAATTTGTTTCAGATTGACGTTTCAGACCCTCTCTGTCCATTCGGACTGATGGAAAAATAACCGACCACTTTTGACATTAGGGAATTAAATTGCCTTCAGCCGCAAATTGAATTAATGAATTCTGTAACAAGAAGGAAATTTTATTATAAAATGTTTCTTTACGTTCTTATTTTATAAAATATATCAATCATAATTGAATCTTTCTGATAACATAGATCTATTTTAGTTGTTACATCATAATTAAATTTTATTTAAAAAAAAAATACTATATACAGTATATATTTTTTTAAAAAAAAAAATTCCTAATTAAATTGGGTCATTTACAATTTCTCACAGTTCAAAGCAAACATAAATTTATTTTAGATTTTCAGAAAAAAATGTAAAAAAGTGGTATAAAAAAGTGATAAAAAAGATTTGGGGAATTGTGCTAACCTACCTGTAATATCATCTGATAATATAAATAAATATGGAAGATCTTAGCTTTTTTTAAAAATAATAAAAAAAAACTTTCGCCTCCGATATTATTAACCGAGCTAATCAATTGATACCATAAAGGAAGAAATAAGAATATAAGATATTATACGCATACACGTCTAATTAACAATGAAAAGAAAGAACAATTCAAAGTCGATTAAAAATAAAAAAAAATATTGTTCCGATTTTGGTACACGTTACATAACACTTACTATAAAAGGAAAATTTATAATAGGAAAGGTGACACGAAAGATACTAGAGAGAATTGTAAGTTTCAAATGCATGCATGTAACAATTTTATGTTTGATTCAGATCGTTATGATTTGGAAAAGCCTATCTTAGAATGTTCGGATTTGGCACGCAAAAATTAAACTATGAAAGAAAATAAATATTGTCTAAATGAAAATTAACAAATCATAATAGTAAATTATGCCAACGATAAAACAATACAACCATTAAGAACAACGGGAAGGTTTTCATAAAGCGGTTATCATTCATTCATTTATTTCGAAATAGTAAAAGAATTTTTTTTTTTTGAAAGAATCATTAACTGTTTAATTTTTGAAACATTGTCCATAGATTTGGATTGAAATCTTAACTAATTAAGGAATGATTAATCTTGCATTTACATATAATACTTTGTTATTGCATAATAATTGTTCCTGCATTGAAGATTGCTGAATTTTTTATCACTATAAATAAATCGTGCTATATTTTCTAAATATATCATAATAATAAAAATTGTTATTATTATTATCATCTTTTCTTAATTATCAACTCGATTTATTATAAATACAACTCTACTTTTCTCTCCAATTTTCCTCGTCAAATCAAATAACAATTCAGAATTACCAATAAATTGATAAAACTAAACAATTAAACTTCACTAACAAATAAAAAATAAAAATGAATCCAACCGCTAGTACTTCTAATCCAGTTGTCATTGTTACTTCTGAACTTACAAAAAAACCCAATCCTACAAATCAATGCTCTATAATGTAAATGGTTGAATATTATTTCAAAAAACTAAAAACTAAAACAAAAATATTGCCTGCTTTAAAAGAAATGGCCTGGCACTGTACAGCATTTTTAAGTTCTCAAATTACTTTCTCGTTATCAATTGTTACTTCGAATGAAACAAACGGCTAAATGGAAATTATCTTAATCGATTTATCTTTGTATCTTTATTATTAACGTTACTTATTCTTATTATTAAAATCGAAATTACAAGTTGATTTAAAATTTTGTATATTTTTTGTTAATTCATTTTATTCTTTTCATTTATTAATAAAATATTTAAGTTTACTTTATTTTTTATAAATTTTCAAATTATTTTCATCTAATATCAATGTTATGTCACTGTTCTTTGAAAAAAAAATAATAATAAAATAAATAAAAGGATAGCGACCACTTCAGAAAATAACGGATAATATTAATGCCGAAATCGAAATTTACAGAACTTTTTTATAAATTTGTTTTAATAAATTTATTAGCTTCAACTTCGAAAAATAATCCTTAGTCAAGCTGTCCTAAAAGGTCTTAAATTAGTAGCTTTTTTTCTTTTACTGGTATTATATTTTACTTTTTAAACTAATGTATAAGTAGAATGTTTTTTAAATAAGTATAATATATGGATCCTGAAGTCATTTTTAAATTTATGACCGGGTCACAACTATATAACAAGAGTTAACTTATTAAAGATAAACGATTAGAACCTTTCTGCAACTAGAAATTTACATCACTCATTTAAACCATATGCACACCAGGATTTAAAAACGCATGCAAATTTATTTACCAACGTAAGAACTTTTTCTTCAAATAAGTTTTTGTAAAAATTACCACGCAAAGCTTTCATTTTTGAGTAATTTCATTTCAGACTTGGGTGAATTAATTATCATATTTTCACATTCAATTCATCCAATAAACGGCACGCAACGCAAAAGCATACTAGTCGAAAATCTCTAAAAAAATTGATAATAATTTGAATTCTACTTAACCATAGTTTGTTTAATATTCTACATTTATGTAATAAACTACCTTTTTCTTTCATGATTCATGTTGATAAAATAATAATAATAATAACAACTAAACTGACAATAAAATACGAAGTTACCGTTTGACTGACGGATAATAAATTTCACCACACCAATTTTACAAGTAAAAATACTTGAAGAAAGAAATTTAGGTACTAAAACTCTTTCGAATTATTAGAACTTTTTTTTTTTGAAAAAAAAAATTTTTGGTTAACCAGCCGAAAAAAATTGAAAACTTAAGCAAAGAAATGAAAGTAAATAATCCCTTTAAATTGCAATAATATTTATTTCTAGTAATTTTTTTTTAGGCGATTGTTATCATTTTGATCGTTTACATCGTTTAATAATAGGCAGACGAATTTGCTTTTTTATTCTCATATTATATATATATTATTTTTATTTATTTATTTAGGTATCTCATATTTTGAGTTCGATTGCATATATTACATTTACGATGCTTAGGGCGCTATATCACGCCACGTTGAGTCTAAAATCACGCCTTAAGATTTACTTTATCTCATGTTAAGACCATATGTTCATAACATGGTTTTAATTAGAAACTTGCCTAAATGTTATGAAAACCTAAGTACAAATCAGATAAAAAAACCACATAAATATCAATCTGTCAATTAAAATAACCTTAAAACATTAAATTTTATTACGACTGGTTAGAAAAATTAATTTTTAATGGATATCTCAGTTATTATGAATATACGGACTTCAACAATATAAAACCAATAGAAAGTATTTCAATTAAAAAATACGAGCTAATTAGAAAAATCAGGATCACTTTGTTGCTTTGAAATGATATTGTATCTCTGAAAAAAGTTGTTAGAATTTATTATTCCGAAGCGTTAACTAAATGTCCCGATGTCTGGCCGCTCAAAAATTGAGTCGATACGTGATTGTTTACACTTGTGCTCCGAACTTAAGTACGGTTTTCGAAACCGTATCTCCTATTTTCGTATGTATTAATTAATCAGAGCGATTGCAACGATGATATGCGCAATGTTCAATGAAAAATTAACAATAAACGAGTTTAGAAAGGATGAAAGAGAATGATGAAGTTGGTATATGGTATATCTTGCCATGTAGGCATCTCCATTTCAATTTAAAACCAATGTTGAAAATAGTAATATCGAAAAAAGAAATATCGAAAATATAAATTTATTTTAAAATAAGAAATGATGGTAGCTTGCCATAGAAAGAAGGTAAAAGTGTAATAAACATGCCAATAAAAATGCTTCCACATTCCACAAATAAAAAATAAATAAAATGCAAAAAAGCATAAAGTTTGCAAATAAACTCGTTTGTAGTAATGCCGGTCAATATATTTATTAAAAATTGAATTTTTGTATAATTCAAATACATTAGATAACACATATATTATTGTATTGCTATTATAAACATGCTTGTTAGGCTGTTGATACATATGTAAAATCGAAAAAGAAGCCATAAAATTCAAATCAGCAATTAATAATTAATGGACACAATTAATAAACACCTTCCATTTCCTAAAATACTCATACACAATTCCAACTGATCTTTCCCTTTAACTGTTAGTTTCGCCGCTTCTTCAGGAGAATTACCAAGTGGCCATAACTTGTCACTCTCATCATCCCAAAGAAAAAAACGACCATAACAATCTAAAAAATCATTCCATAATATGATCGAAGCCAAATTCAAAAACACATGTTATATGATAATCTAGTTCTTTCAGATCACAATCAAGAACTTTATAATCAATATAGATGGTTTTAATACGAAAATTATTTTCAAATGCATCAACTAAGATGAGCGAATCACTGCAACACAATGCTCTCAATTTGTTTCTTCATGATCTTGCACTTGAAACATGGTATGACTTTCAATAAACAAGGTTCCTTTTTGGGTATAGCGAGAGTGCGGTCGTACAAGTCGGCACATTTTTTGAGTGACTGTTGTTTTCCACACATCGCCTCCCAGGTAACCGATTCTGCTCAATTTCCCAAATTTTCCAGCATCATTTCTACTCTGCTTCGGTTAGGGCATCCTTCGCATTCCTTGCCCACTTTAAAATCTGCATGTTCTCTACCCTCATCGCTACTGCCTGTTATCTCCCTAGATAATGACAATGAATTGATGCATCCATGATGAATTTAACTTTCAGTTTTGATATTTGATTTGAATGAGTGAGATTCACTGCCGATGGACGCAGCTTTGAATTCAGCTGTTTAATAATAAAACTCTTTGCTAAGCGCTCCAGACTTATTTCTAGGCATAGGTCCAGAGAAGACACCAGACGTCCCAGATCGTAATAATCAATATCTGTTGAAATTTGTGCAGGAATATTTTTTTCCCTTTGTTGCAGAAAGGTGTTATTTCTTTGTTCTTTCTATACAAATTATGATTTTGCATTAGTTTAAGGTTTATTTTTCTGCTTTTTTTTCTGCTCTTAGCTCAGGTTCCACGAATACCGTAATCAACTCCTTCTTTCATGCTTCTTTTAAAATATATGCTCAAACTAGTGAAACAGAATAAAACTACTTTTTTGACCACAGATATAGATCGTGCAATAGAATAACTTGTTTTGGAATAATCAAAGCTTTTTAACGTGAAAAAGTGCGAGTCACATAGAATGATTTTATATTTACGTTTGTTTGTATTACATAATCATATACGCCAGTTTTGTAATAAATATTTAAATATTTTTGTTTAATAAATATCATAAAACATTTAATTAAAATATTTGGTTCCATGTTGCAGAATACACTATGGCAAAGCCTCCTTCACCAATTTTTGCAAATCTTCGAATTTATCAAAAGGCGCCCATTCAAGTGATCCGTTATTACTAACATTATACATTGTATCTTTAATAAATTTATAAATACCAGAATTCTATTAGTTCATCCTTCGATTATTTGACAAGGGTCACATTCTTTATACCATAATTTCTCTACAAATGGTTTATCTCAATAAGTACAATTTTTATCTCTGACATAAATTTATCGACTTGGGTTTCATTACATACTTTTTTTTTTAAAAAAAAAATTACTTTGTAGTATTTAATTTAATTATAGAGATTGCAAGCAAGTCGCCACTGAGAATAAAATGTTTGATGCAGACCATAGTACAAATCACATTAGGTAACGTGATAAGATACTACTTTAATTTACTTGGACCGGAAACTTTTAAAATAATTAGATTCTGAAATTTGTAGCGCTGATTAGGGATGCTAATGGTTATGGTCATGACCGGTCATAACCGGTCATAACCGTGACCGATATCGGTCGGTCAAAGGC